TGGGTAATCAGACGTCATTCATTAATTTTTCTGAAATTAAAGCATTGTATTGCAGATGTTATTTATTTCTTATCTCTTTGAATGCTTAGCGGCCTGATGGCCAATTGGCTAGCTCTTAGGCCTTTGGTACCACAGGCTTCAGCGTCCAATCCTGGCGGTGGCATGGATGTTCGTGAGTAGTTCGGAATCCACGTTAAACTGTAGGGCCCGGTCTAATTAGCCTAAAGTGGGCAAAAAATGACCGTAGAAAGATAAACCCAACCAAGCTCCCATACGATACGCAAATGCGGGGTAGTCCTATTTGAAGGCATTTCCGTCCTTCTTCAGCGTTACGGAGCCAAGTCAGACTTCTACCTACGGATGCTCCATCACAACAGAACCCCCCTCTTTCCCTCCTTCTTTGAGACCACATGGGTTCTTGGACATGATCTAAATGTTGTTGTCTACCAAGTGGGATAAGAAGAAAAAATGTAATGTATGTTTTTGCTGTGTTCACCTGCCAGGTACTTCGACCCAAGGTTATTCGCCAGTGTAACAGATTTAGCAATACAACAGATGCACTACGGAAGAGCTGCAATACTGCAAACACATTGTGTTTCCGTAATTTTAAACAAACACCCTCAGAGGTATCATATGAAAGTTTACATCCTTACTTGAGAACAATAGAAAGATTGATAGTGCCTGTCTTCGAAAGAGACATTTCTATTCGACTTCGCTTTACGGTTTTCAAATCGAGCTCCCCCAACACAGAAACCTAATGCATTATCCACAAGGCCGTCCTAGAAGATTGAACTAAAGCAGCTGTTCTTTAAAAAAAAAAAATTATCGTCTACTTTAGAATAAGACCGTCTTTATCCAGGCAAACTCGACGTTCGGGCCATGTTATGTGAAGAAGAAACGCTAATGTATTTTTCAAGTTAGATTGATTAGTTCTATATATTATTATAGTATATATTGTTGTCTAAGGAAATTTATTTAAAAAAGTTTAGTAATAATGAATATTTTATTATATCCAGCTAACGAATATTTTACTATATTTAACAGCAACAATAATTAAGAGAGCTAATAAGTATTAACAAAAACAATAAGTAAGATAGCTAATAAGTATTTTTTAACAATAACAATAAATAAGAGAGCTAATAAGTATTTTTAACTACAACAATAATTAAGAGAGCTAATAAGTATTAACAACAACATTAAGTAAGATAGCTAAAAAGTATTAACAAAAACAATAAGTAAGATAGCTAATAAGTATTAACAACAATAATAAGATAGTTAATAAGTAATTTTAACAGTAACAAAAAATAAGAGAGCTAATAAGTATTTTAACAACAACAATAATTAAGAGAGCTAATAAATATTTTTAACAATAACAAGAATTAATAGAGCTAAGTATTTTTAACAATAGCAATAATTAGAATAAATAATATTTTTAACAATAAAAGTAATTAAGAGAATTAATAAGTAATTTTCATTAATTCTTAGCAGTCTTATTTTCGACTGAACTACATTAACTTTTCTTAAATGAAAAATTATATATAAGATATTAAAAATAAAAATATACATCATTAATGAAATTAGAATCATAATTTTTTTTAAAAATTTAACAACCTAGTTTTTTTTTAAATTTAATATGTAGAATACCAATAAAAAAAAATTATTGAAATGCAAACATTGCTTGAAATTTATTTAAAGTGGGCACCTCCCTATGTTAAAAGGATCTCCAACTTGAGTCATTAAAATTGCACCGGCTTTAAAAAAAGTGGAATAATTTTAAGATCTTTTCGATCTATTAGAGTACCCATAAGCATCTGCGAAATGGCACTAAATTCATCATCGCTAATGCCACTTCAAAAAAAAAAAAATCACTATTCATTCAACGACCACTCTATTCCGAAAGTGGGAGATGGGAGAAAGAAAAAAAAAAAAAAAAAAAAAGAAAAAAGAAAAGACTGGAGAACCGGTGAGACGTTACTCCGAGTGCCCTAATTCCACCCCTCCTTCCATCTTCTCATCTTTCTCATCCCAGGGATCTCCTTTCCTTCTCCCCAGGTATCCAATTGGGTCATAAAAGAACCACGTGCGGATTTAATAAGTCGCCAAATGGCTCGCCGCTTGGCGGCAGTAATGGATGAGTGACTGCGCATGCTCTTTGCATTGAAACAATTCTCTCAGTATTAAGGAAAAAGGGAAATTTGTAGCTTTTCTCATTGCTGAAGTAAATTAAAAACAAGTAATATAAAAAAAAAATATTTTAAAATCAATTCCTATTTTTTTTTGCACTATATTACATTACTTCTATACATTAAATAATTTTCATTCCCTTTTTTAAGTTAGAAAAAATTCTCTCTCTTTCTCTCTCACATACACACTTTCCATCTCTCTCACTAATTTATTCATATGTTTTATTTTCCATTTTGTTCCCTCCTTGACTCAGATTAGAACACAGAATGAAAAAAAGAATCTGAAAAAGAAATTATTTTTCGGCGATCTAAACGCTTCGCCACCGACAGTATTTATTCCTAACTTTATATCCTGCTAAATATCTTATATTAGGGAAATCTGTTGTTGTTTGTTGTTTCTTATCCCACTGACATATGGTCATGATTGAAGGGAAGGAAGCAGCTTCTGTTGTGATGGAGCACCCGTAGGTAGAAGCCTGACTTTTGCTCCGTGACGCTCTTACAGTCATAGAAGACCGGGACCTAAATGGATTCCGAACCACTACAAACATCCATGGCACCGCCGGGATTCGAACCCGAAACCTGTGGCACCGAGCGCCAGAGCGCTAGACACTCGGCCATTCAGGTCCCAGGGAAATCTTTTTCTCCTATATAAAACTAAAATTAATTAATTCAATTTAATTACTGAATTAATATTTGAAAAAACTGTATTAACATCAAGTGTCATCCACTACAAGTTTTAAAAAATGTCTTTGAACTTGAGCGGATGAATAAAAGGTATTTTATTAACGACTGAAAAGGTATTTTATTAACGAAGATATATATATAGGAGAGTGTGAATTAATAATAAGAATTGAAAAAAATGACGATGTGTTTGATACATTAAACTAAAGGGACATAGAATAAGTTTGGTTTTTAAAAGAACATAATCTATCGATAATATTAAAAGTTAACGTATTCGAATTTTTATACTTAATTTAATTAACATCAATAAATCTATATTCATCAGTCTTACAATCAAATTTACATGAATTCTCCAAAAGGGCGTCAAATATGTTAAAAATGTATTGATAAAATTTAATTTATCTCCTCTTTGTCAGGCATTGGAACCGTTTTAGTATGTCAAATGTTTTACCATGAACTAAATTCATATGATTCGTTTTTTCAAGATATGATTGTTTGTTCTGTACTTAAGCGATTGGTTGATAAAAGAAAGACAAATAAAGCGATTATAAACATTCATAAAATGCGATTTTGAATAGCATAGTATTAAAAGCGCTCATATAATTAAATTTTGTTTCTTTTTTAATGTTATTTTTTAATCTGCCGAATCATGAAACGTTTTCTATCTTAATAAGTGCGATTCTATACGTGACTGTTGACATATTAGAGAGTTTTTGCATACCGTACGTTAGTTACCGTAGGACGTCCGTTAGCTTTTTCTCCCTAGCGCGCATGCTCATAGGAAACTGAGCATGCGAGAAAAAGCTAACGGACGTCCTACGGTAATTAACGTACGGTATGCAAAAACTCTCTATTATGGGCCTTCGAAATTCGAATTTTATAATCACAAATGGGCCCATTGTATTTTATTTAATGTTATTTTTCTTCTTTCAAAGACTATAAAATCACTTTTAAAATGTTTCCATGTTTGTCCTTTTCGAAAAATTACAAAAACGCTTCTGTATTAAAATAAATATCATAAAAAATACATAGAAAATTATCGTCTGGGTAGATATACATGTTATCTATAAAATTTAGAATTTAATAGAGAGTTTTTGCATACCGTACGTTAGTTACCGTAGTTGCTTTTAATATTGCTTTGTTTTTTTAGATATATATAAAAATTAATAATTAATAAGCAAAATAAAACAAAATAATCAATTTTATCAAATTTCGAATATTAAATTACTACTCTGGCTCTCGGTGCCACAGGTTTCGGGTTCGAGTGCCATAGATGTTTGTTGTGGTTCGGAATCAGCTTAAAACCGTACCTCTCGGTCAAATATGACTGTACAGCGTTGGGCGTAGGGCAAAATCTAACCCATAAAAAGAAAACATTTTATGTCTCGAAATCCATCAGACGGCTTTGGCCTACCATGACGCTGTTGCGCCAATAAAGAAGAAATGGAAGTATTTTATTTTCTGTGAAAGAAATCATTTACTCTTAAGTTGTTTTTTTTTTAACTGAAGCTATCGCGGTTTTATGTAATGAGAAAATAATGTATAATAGAGAGTTTTTGCATACCGTACGTTAGTTACCGTAGGACGTCCGTTGGCTTTTTCTCCCTAGCGCGCATGCTCATAGGAAACCGAGAATGCGTATCTGTAATAATGTTTCCTATGAGCATGCGCGCTAGGGAGAAAAAGCTAACGGACGTCCTACGGTAACTAACGTACGGTATGCAAAAACTCCCTATTGTTAAGAATAAAACGCATAACAGCAATCATAAATTAAAAAATAAAAAAACTATGAAACCAAACGATAAATAAAAAAAAAAAACCAAACGATTTGAAAAATCTCATTTTTGCTTCGAAATAAAATAGAATTCTATTTCACCAGACGATCTTTTAGAACAATTTAACATTATTTAATTATATAATTATTAGCTTGTGGAAGCAATTTAAATACACCAATAAGAATAACTCGGGAAAAATTTTTTAAAAAAAATTAACCAATCAGAAACGTTCAAAGTGGTTAAAGACGGAAAAAAAAATATCAAGGAAACCAAAAATTCCGCTCTCAAAAAAAAACCTATAATTTTACGTTTAATAAAAATATTTGATATAATATTGTATTAATATGTTGTGATAGCCAACGGCCGTACCATGCTGAATATACCGGTTCTCGTTATAGATCACCGAAGTCAAGCATCATTGGGCGCGGTCAGTATTTGGGTGGGTGGACCACCTGGGAACACCGCGTGCCGTTGGCAAATTTGGGACCTGAATGGCCCAGTGTCTAGCGCGCTGGCGCTCGGTGCCACAGGTTTCGGGTTCGAATCCCGGCGGTGCCATAGATGTTTGTAGTGGTTCGGAACCCACTTTAAGCCGTAGGTCCCGGTCTCCTATGACTGTAAGAGCGTCACGGAGCAAAAGTCAGGCTTCTACCTACGGGTGCTCCATCACAACAGAAGCTGCTTCCTTCCCCTTCAATCATGAGTACGCATGGGCTCGTGGGCTTGGCCAGCCAAGTGGGATAAGAAACAACAACAACAAACAATATGTTGTGATACAACACAAAAAAAAGGTTTTTTGTTTTGTTCATTTCTGTTTTTAAAAGTGTTTAAATTATAATAAAAGAAACCGAAAGACCCACAATAATCTGAAAATAATAAAAAAGACATCGGTATGAATTGATTGGGTATTTTTGCGATATGCATTTGTGTTTGTATTTTAAGCGATACTGGTCATTTGTGTTTGTTATGAAGATGCAAGAGGCAAGCGACCAAATTTTTTCGACCCCTTCACAGCGAAACGTCAGAAATAGCATTACGCATAGTGAAAACCGCTTGAATGAAAGTTGGTCTACTCCACGCGGCGAACTCAAACCGGTTTCAGGCGAAGATTTTGGTCGCTTGCATCTTGTCGCCTTGGTGAGCACGAGCCTTTAAGGTAAAAGAATTAATGGAATCATTCGTTTTGAACATAATTGGGTGAAAAAACACTACAGGTAGCAGAATCTTTTTGGTATTGTTACCAATGTAGGATTAAAGTATTATCTTTTGATGGTTCTGGTGCACGAATTTTAATTTAACAGTTTCTTATCTTAAAGTACAGGGCCTTCTTCTTGAGAGGGCGATAAGATAAGGTGAGGATAAAGTGAATCATAAAACCTTAAAGTTTTCTTTTTTCGTTTTTTTCTAAAAAAACTCTGCTATGTTCAATAACCATGTATGTTGTTCTGGTATCTTGCTATATTAGCTGATTAGTTTATTAAAAAAATACTGACACCATCGTTTAAAATTTATACTATAATCACATTTTCTACAGCCTAAGTTATGAATGACAGCAAAGTATTTTAAAAAAAACTGAAAAGTAAAAGCCAAAATTGAGACACAACAGCAATTGAGCAACAAAATTTGACCAAACTCACTTTTTTTTAAATTTAATGCTATCACATATACAATGACGTCTTTTTCATAGAATTTATCAAAATGTGTAAAATCACAAATTATCATTTTTTTTTCTTTTGACATCTACACAAAGTTTAACCAATTTTAAGCTCTAAGAATGCGAATTTGTGTTTTCTTTACCCCAAATTAAAATTTTTATTTTTCACTCATTTCATTTCTGTGAAAAATCTATACAACATTTCATAAAGCATTTATGCGAACAATCTATAAATCATTTATTAGCATTTCTGAGAACAATCTACAGAGCATTTCATAAAGCATATATTAGCATTTCTGTGAACAATCTATAAAGTATTCATTAGCATTTCTGTGAGAAATTTAAGAGCATTTCTGTGAACTATCTATAAATCATTTATTAGTTTTCTGTGAATAATCTATAAAGCATTTAATAGCATCTATGTGAACAATATATAAAGCAGTTAGTAGAATTTCTGTGAACAATCTATAAAGTATTCATTAGCATTTCTGTGAGAAATTTAAGAGCATGAACTATCTATAAATCATTTATTAGTTTTCTGTGAATAATCTATAAAGCATTTAATAGCATCTATGTGAACAATATATAAAGCAGTTAGTAGAATTTCTGTGAACAATCTATAAAGCATTCATTAGCATTTCTGTGAGAAATTTAAGAGCATTTCTGTAAACTATCTATAAATCATTTATTAGTTTTCTGTGAATAATCTATAAAGCATTTAATAGCATCTATGTGAACAATATATAAAGCAGTTAGTAGAATTTCTGTGAACAATCTATAAAGCATTCATTAGCATTTCTGTGAGAAATTTAAGAGCATTTCTGTGAACTATCTATAAATCATTTATTAGTTTTCTGTGAATAATCTATAAAGCATTTAATAGCATCTATGTGAACAATATATAAAGCAGTTAGTAGAATTTCTGTGAACAATCTATAAAGTATTCATTAGCATTTCTGTGAGAAATTTAAGAGCATTTCTGTGAACTATCTATAAATCATTTATTAGTTTTCTGTGAATAATCTATAAAGCATTTAATAGCATCTATGTGAACAATATATAAAGCAGTTAGTAGAATTTCTGTGAACAATCTATAAAGCATTCATTAGCATTTCTATGAACAATTTAAGAGCATTTCTGTGAACTATCTATAAATCATTTATTAGTTTTCTGTGAATAATCTATAAAGCATTTAGTAGCATCTATGTGAACAATATATAAAGCAGTTAGTAGAATTTCTGTGAACAATCTATAAAGTATTCATTAGCATTTCTGTGAGAAATTTAAGAGCATTTCTGTGAACTATCTATAAATCATTTATTAGTTTTCTGTGAATAATCTATAAAGCATTTAATAGCATCTATGTGAACAATATATAAAGCAGTTAGTAGAATTTCTGTGAACAATCTATAAAGCATTCATTAGCATTTCTGTGAGAAATTTAAGAGCATTTCTGTAAACTATCTATAAATCATTTATTAGTTTTCTGTGAATAATCTATAAAGCATTTAATAGCATCTATGTGAACAATATATAAAGCAGTTAGTAGAATTTCTGTGAACAATCTATAAAGCATTCATTAGCATTTCTGTGAGCAATTTAAGAGCATTTCTGTGAACTATCTATAAATCATTTATTAGTTTTCTGTGAATAATCTATAAAGCATTTAATAGCATCTATGTGAACAATATATAAAGCAGTTAGTAGAATTTCTGTGAACAATCTATAAAGTATTCATTAGCATTTCTGTGAAGAAGCTATAAAGCATTTATTATTTCTGTGAACAATCTACAAAGCATTTCATAAAGCATTTATTAATATTTCTGTGAATAATCTATAAAGCGTTTCATATAGCATTTATTAATATTTCTGCGAACAATCTGTAAAGCATTTCTATGAACAATCTATAAAACCATGACTTTCCAGCCATCAATCTATAAATGCAGTCATCATTCACACATAATAATAAAAATTAATAGTTTTATACAAAGTTTAAAATTTATTATTAAAAAAATTATTATTACGATTTTAGTTTGTAAAGTTTTTTTCGTGTGCAGTTGTTCTTTCGTATTACACCATGTGCATCAGATGCAGCTTTTACTGTTCCAATCCTGTCAATCGCGCCAAGCGGCGAGAAACTCGATCAGCGAGCGGATTCACGCGGGGTTACCTTTGGCAAGGGTGAATTTTCAAGGTTCCGGCGGAAGAGCGCCAAGGGGTAAGCGTAGATTGGCGTGAGAAGATGTGAGCCGCGCCAAAACGGTTATTAATAGATGCTGCGGTGTTAGCCTAGGTGATTAGAAAGGGTGATTTATAACATCCTGTTTTTTTCACTTTTGAAAAACCAAAGGTTAGAATGATGATGACTTTATAGTCCTGTCAGATGATTAAAGAAAATTTTTTACAGAAGAATTCTTGGAATATTATCTCGAAAAAAATTCCAAGATTTTAGGAAGAGCAGATAAATGGACTTAATTTAACAATTGGTAGCCTACTCGCATCTTAACTGTTAACATATACAGGTAACTTTAGGGATGGTTCAGGTCCAAAATTACTGGTGACATACATAAAAATTCGAATATTTCAATTGTAAACATTTTGTTTCGTTTAAAATACAAACTTCTTTAATTGAGCAATATTTTTAGCATTATTTTATGCTAATCTACGGCCATTTCTTCAATTAAAAAAAGTTTTGATTTATAAAATAGTCTGATAATTCGTAAATAATTTTTTATGTTAAAAGGATATCCATTTAAGTTTTCCTTGTGTTTCTTTTTTATGTGATATATAGTCAAGAAAAGTTTTATAAAATCAGATATTTAATAATTGGATTTGATCATGAGACACAGCTCTCAATGGAAATCAAAAACTGTTTAAAGCAATTTTCTGATTCTATTCTTATAAAAAAATAAACGCGATTCAGTTTTATTATTAACTTTGTATTCATCGGTTAAAAACGGTGTTTCTTCTAATAAATATTGCGTAATAGTTTTCTTTGTGACATACATTCTGATATGGGTTATACTCTCATAATACGGCAGGAGTGTATTTGGTCTGAGATTCAGAGCATATGTGAAATATGTATTTAAAGAAATTGTTTTGCAAATAATCTTTTGTTAAACATAAAATATTCAAGCAAACTGATCTTTCAAGATGCAGGTTGTTGTTGATGTATCCCTCATGGAAGGAGGGAAGAGGGGTGCAGCTTCTGCTTTTAATGGAGCACCCATAGGTAGCAATCTCACTTCTGCTCCGTGTGCGGAAGAAGCAGGACAGTGCCTTCTGGGAGGACTTTTAGGGGCATAGCCCGCATTTGCGTATCGTAAGGGAGAAAAATCGGAAACTCCCACCAAGTAGTTCGACTCACGAGGCACCATCACAAACGCCATCGAGTCTTGTCATTTTTTGAAACAGTGTCTACAACAAAGCAACCAGCAGATTGAACCTCAGCCCTAATGCTCATCAGCGGCGCACGTTGCCACTAAGCAACGATTCAGGCAATGCAGGTTTTTTTTAGATAAATAATATTTTATTTTTATATTCTTCAAAAAATGCAATATTTTTTTCTTTTTCCAATAACCGTAAATGCAAATAAATCATTGTATTTAAAGAGCAACTCCATTCAGTGCCCAGTAATAGAGTCCTCGCAGGACGCCTTAGTTTCGAATTCGCTTGTGGCGTCCGTTGTAGTCAATGATTTCAGAAATAAGGATATTGGGACATCATGTGTAAAGCGTCTCGATCTAGAGTCTAGGTGTGGGAATGTTTTGGGGTTTCTCTTATTTAACAAAACGAATGCAGGACACCAATATCTAAAAG